TGGGACACCGTGCACGCACCTGTCTTGTCCATGCTGGTTCGAATTTCGACGCGTGACTAGTATTCTTCCGACGCCCTAAGCAGTGTGCTCTCTCGTGTCGCACCGCCGTGGCCCGGGCCCGGTGTGTTGCACTCTTTACAACTTTCGTGGCAAACTCTCCGCCCCGCTCCCTGCAATCAATCGACACGACAGAGCCTGTGCATAAATATGTCGTCGTTGTTGCCGTGTGAAATCGGTTCAGTGAAGGATGATGGGTCAAAAGAAAGGGTCCGTGAGCCCTCCCCTAGGAGTGTTGAGAGCCAGGCTGCTCTTCTCGTCACTGCCTGGCTTTCCTGCGCATGTCGAGTTTGTACACCCCTTGCCCAAGTCCCACAATAGTGGCATCGCACGACGATGACGTCTTGCATGGGGTTTCAGGACAGCAAGGAGTGGTTGACACGACACTGGGCCCGGAATGGTCCGAAGTTTTTAGAGACTGAGGCAATAGAAAGCAACGGTCATCGCTCAAGAAGAAAAGATAAAACCTGGCGCTGGACACTGAAAAGCTTGAGGCCTGCCATGCTTTTACGCGCTGGGTGTGGAAGCAGGATTTTTCCAAAACAATCATGGCGGTCTATGTGAGCTTGGATGGGATGGCAGGGTATTGCCGACGATGAATCTTGACAATTTTGTCTTTCCGGCTCCTGTGGAAGAGGGACGAACAATGACAACGGCACTTTTTTCCTGCCGTATCCGCAAAAATGTGGGCAATGACCCATTCACGAGACGCTCTGATGGAAAGGGGGGAGTAAGATCTCACCACTAGAACAAGAGTATTTCGTAATGTGAGGGCGGCTTGCAGTGCTGGATTCCACCCATGACAGACATCCACGTACATCATTGAGATAAAAGCAATCCGCCAAGGACGACCGTGTCGTTTGGATTCCGTTTCGCTCTTTCTTTGTTCGCTCGGATGTCGCAACCCTGCCACAGCCTTCGGAGGCCAAGAAAAAGTGTAGGCTGGGCTTTCGCAAACACACCCTCGTGCCCTCTGTTCCTCCCTCGCCGTCCTTTATCATCTCGACAGTTCTACTCATAAATCCAGCCCTGGCTGTGGCTCGACCAATCAATGGTTCCCTCCCCAAACCACAACTTTATCTCCCGCTCTGCGTTCTCCACCGAGTCTGAACCGTGGCATATGTTCCGGCCCACCTGTGAGTGCCAAACCAAGATAAGCGATGAAAGCCCCCCCCCAGGGACGGAAATGGAAGTAGGCATGAATGCATAGAATCGTGGAGAATGTGCTCGGCGTGTCCGAAAGGGTTTGACAGTGCCACACTCTAGACGCCCCCTATTCCCAAGTCTTCTTTCCTCCCCCTCCTCCTCACCTCGATCGAGAAGTCCCCCCGGATCGTGCCAGGGGCACTCTCCAACGGGTTCGTGGCGCCCAGCATCGTCCTGCCCGTGGCCACCACGTTTTTCCCCTCCCAGACCATCGCCACCACTGGGCCGCTCGTCATGTAGTCCATCAGGCTCGGGAAGAAGGCCTTGTCCTGGGAGGGGAAGGAACGGGAGGCCGCCGGGGCGGAGATGAGAGGGAGCGGGCCTGTCGCTGCCGATACTTATTCTTGTTCGTGGGCCTAGATCGAAGGTACATGTGTATAGACACATGCACGTGTGCGCGCGTCCTCCTTCGTCCTGCCCGCCCACCGCATGTGAGAGGAACAGAACATTTCCGCCTACCGAGCCCTTGTCCTCCATTTCTTGGCACCAATCTCATCGAAATTCGGTGGGGCACTCAGCGCACCTCTCCCAATGAGGCTTCCCGCCTTTCTCTTACCTTCAACGAGTCGTAGTGCTCCTCCAAGAGGGACCGGGCGGGTTTGACAAGCTTCAACGCGACCAGTTTGTACCCCTTTTTCTCGAAACGCCCAATGATATCAGACACGAGTCCACGTTGGACTGCGTCCGGTTTCGCCATGATATAGGTGCGTTCCATCGCCATGCATAGTCCCCGGCCTGTGGGAGAGAGAGGAGGTTGAACAGTCAAGTGCAGGACCTAAAGACTCTGGCTCGTTCCCTCCCTTGTCTTCAAGGGTAAAGCGTTCGGAGATGCTCGTATTTTATGCCGACTAGGTATAGGCAAGCTTTCGGTGGGATCGCTGGTGTGAATCGAAAAGGTGGGGGTCATGACGCAGAGTGTCCTGGACTCGTGCCTTCCGGCTTGGCAGGTCATTCGGACGCCTTTTTCCACCTACAGAAGGACGCATGACGATACAACCACTGCGTGATCAATGCAATTCAATAGAGACTTACTTCCATGCAGACTCATGCTACGGCTGGGCACCACACGCGTGCCCCATGCTGCGAATGTTGGGCGAGCCGTCGGTGCTGCCGTGGTGTGACGGGAGGGCGGGCCGGTGGCGACGAAGGACAAGGCAGTGGAGACAATGGCGCAAAGCGAGACCAATCGAAGCATTTCCATGGTGTAATACGACGTCCTGAATGTAAAGGGAGGAAGAGTATCAATGGAAGAATTTCGTGTCAGAAAGAGTACGTCATGTTGCAGTTGCCCGGTGCTTCTTGGTTTGTGAGTGCGACAGTGCGATACACCACGACAAAGAAAGGTGGAAAACTCCACTTTTTACATTAAAAATGTTGCGAAGCCCTTTTAAATGAATATTCACGACCAAATTAGCAGCAAGGCATTTAGAATCCATCATTCAATCCATCATTCAATCCTGCCTCAAAGCGAGGATCGTGTGGCGCAGGATCGCTGCTTTATCAGCAAGTTTGTGAACAAATCTGGCGGCGAGTTCATTTGGACAGCGACACAGTGCGGAGAAAGTGTGCATTTCCGTGTTTTCTTTACTACGTTGCCGCGCGTAAGGAACACCTTCCGCACCCTGGGTACACATACAGATTTCCAGGTGTGCGGCTGAAGCATGTTGGGAAACAAGTCAATGACGTACTACAAGCTCGACGATTCACCCGGCTACAATTATGTACGAACAAGTTATCTGTCGATACAATTCTGTAAGACCAAGTAATCTGTCGATATGGTTGCCTCCAAGAATGACTTTCCGATGATGGCTCTCTCGTCAAAAATGATATCATCACTGGATCAGTTCGTGTAATGCAAATCAAGAAAAAATGGGACCAGCCCTCATCGACTGAAGATAATGGCCAAACCGAACGGGCGAGTCAAACTTAACTTAATATGAACCATACCAACAAATTCGTTACCCATTTTATCTCTGAACTGGGGACCACTGTCCGATAATAGCTCTTGAGGGCAATGATATCGACAGATCACTTGGTCGTACAGAATTGTAGCGGCGGTGAGAGCTGTCTGCCCATAGGTGGGGAAGGACTCGACCCAATGGGTAGGGGCGTCTGTGAGTACTACCAAAGTGTCATAGCCCGTACTGATATGATTGTGAGACTTCATCATTTACTTGTGTTGCGCAATACCGCGCTAAAAAAAAGGAGCATGATACAATACCCCATGTACCAAGACGAAACATGATGTATACGAGTTCAAGCGCAGATATAGAACCGACGGGCAGATTAATCAACACCACAAATAAGGATTTCCGTCATGCTGTGCTGTGTTTCATTATTTGTATGATAGTCAAAACCATCTTCCTACATATCTGCAAAACTAGTACAACTTGACACCCTATTAAAAAATCAATTCCTTTAAATGCCTTATAAGAGACATCTCGTCCTCAAGTTCTCATACCGACTCCTTCTTAGCCTCCCGAAATTCACCTTGTGTCATACAACCGCCTGATCATCCTAGAGCTGGTTTGATTTTGATTTTCTCAAGATCACAATATATTCCTTCCGTAGCCTTGTAAGGACTCCACGACTGGACGTCTCTCATCCTCCACATGCATCCCACATTAGCCCATGTGAACTTCTGCTGCCTCCCCCCGCTCCCCCAACGTCTTCAGATGCGCTATGTGGGCGTGGAAAGCCGTCACAAAATCCGGCAGAACCTTGTAATCCACATTGAACTCCCGACACACGTCTTGGATGATGGGCGCGATGGCTGGGTAGTGGTATTGACTCACAGTGGGGAACAGATGGTGAGTGACTTGGTAGTTCAGGGCGCCGCAGAGGAAGGTGGTTACTGGGTTGTTGTGCGCATAGTCCACACTGCTCTTTATTTGGGAGACCGCCCATTCGTCCACGATGTTGCCATCCTCTCCCTCTCGGGGGGCTTCGCCCAAGGGGTAGTCGCATTCGGAGGAGACGTGGGAGACTTGGAAATTAAAGGCGAGGAAGTACCCGGTCATAAACTCGCTGACCAGGAAGAGGGCGGAAAAAGCAGCCCAGCCGGTGTGGAAAGACGGGGAGAGCAAGGGGAACGCGATCCTCCATCCTGCCCAAAACATTTTGGTGAAAATCATCTCGGCCCATTGGAAAAAGGACAAGGGGTTCACCCGTACGGGCCCGTTCGTGCCACTTCCGAAGGTCTCCATGATATCTTGGACTCGAAATTTGATCCCCAGGATGCCGTACAGAGGGGGAAGGTACAAGTGCTGCCATTTATACATGGCTTGCCACGCCTGTTTCTGCACCAATCTTCTCGGATCTCCCGCGGCTTTGTCGGGTAAATCCGGGTCGGCGAGGAAGACATTCGTGTAGATATGGTGGCCGATCACGTGTTGGTTGTGCCAGCTGGTCATGTTCGCCCCGGCGAAGAAATCCATCGCCAGCCGCCCCCCCACCTGCCACCAGCGTTCTGTATTGCCAAACGCCAGGTGGGAGGAGTCGTGCATGACGTGCAACAAAGGAAGGGCCTGACAGATCCCAAACACCACCGCCGCCACTAGCCGGGCCCACGTAGTCCCGGCCCATGTCCCTTCCACACCCACGTAGCCGTTGCAGACCACGAAAGAGGCCAAGGCCACCAGGGCGACGAGGCACATGCGCCAGATGCCGGGGATTGGGTCCTTAGGGTTGAGCTTGTGGGCCACAAAGTAGTCATTCACGCGGGTGCACAGGGCCTTGTAGAAACCACGAGTGTCCGCCTTGTACTGGGGGAATTCGTAGGAGGTGACCCGGCCGATCTCAAACTTGTTGAGCACCTGGGCGAAGGGAGGAAAGGAGGGGCGGAGGAAGGGAAGGAGGGGCAGGAGGTAAGACGGATGGGTGCGCAAAGCGAGGGTGATGCGTTGCGAGCCGTCCCGGGGGATCTGCGGCTTGATCCCTCCCCGCAGGACACCAATTGGCGCTCGCGCTGCATCACTCCCCTCTCCCCTCCCCTCTCTCTCCCTTATTCCCTCTCTTTTCCCGCACCTGCGTCGGTTTCTCCGTGAACGGGTGGTAGGAATCGAAGGCGTACGTGATGTCCCTCCCCGCCGCCAACAGCAGGATCTCCTTGCCCCCCGGATGGTTGTCCACCCAACTGGATATGTCGTACACCTTCCCTCGCACAGTGACCCACAAACTTTTCTCTGTGTTGTGCTCGGCTACTTCTTGCCATGTGTAGGATTTCCCCGCCGGCTCCGTTGCCGGTACGGCCGCCGTGGAAAGGACAGGCTCGGTGCTTCCCATACTGGGTGTGGAAGCAGGATTTTTCCAAAACAATCATGGGGGTCTAT